CTAACACAGCGCGGGAGGCGAAAGAAATTCGAGGGCGCTGACGGGGCGCCGCCGCGAGTGAATGGTGAAGGGTCAAGGGTGAATGATCGGTTTTCCGGGTGCTGATCGGTTTCCATCCTTTATGCCTGCCATCACACACTTGCACGATCTACTTTGAAGGAGGGCTGCTGACATCTGCAGCAGGAGGTCTGCCCGCTGGCTCTTGCGGTTGTCGGCAAAAGGCGGGAACGCTGTGGCGGTGCACATTGATTTGAGGACCTGGAGTAGGCCTTCCTCTGTTAATGTTCAATGTGCATCGTCTGCGAGCTCCCTGGTGGTCCATCCTGCAGCCCGCAGGCACAGGGGCACCGCTGTGGGTTCCCGCCCCCACGAAGCCGCCGCTGTGCGCCGCCAACCTGGCCCATGTCTCCAAGCTCGGCCCGATTTCGACGGCGCCTGTTCACCCTTCCCCCTCCAGCTCCCTGGTGCTCTCCCGCCTGGCCACTCGGCCCAGTCCATGTGGCGGAGCGTCGCTGCGAAGATGCAGGCCACCGTCGCTGCGCTGAGCAAAACCGGGACAACGCACATCGGTCCGCAGCCTGTGGGCGGCCGCACGGCCGTGCCACGGCTGCATCTCCCGACAGTGGGCTTCCCGGGCGCCGCTCGCTCCCTGTTCGGCGCCTCCTGGGCGCACAGCGGGAGCACGGGGCCCCGCGGCGCGGCTGCAGGGCCCGTGCGGTCCTACGCCTACGACGCGGCGACAGAGGCGCCCGCCGCCGACATTGGCGAGGTCGACTTCGACCCGTCCCTGGCCAACACCGGTGCGCCCGCCCGCCTGTGCGCCTGCCCTGCGTATGCTGTGCGCCACACTGGGGCACCGAGCGTGCTGCCTTTGACCGCTGCTGCGGGCCTCGAGCGCGGGACGCCACCCATGTGCGGCTGTGTGGCCGCCCTGGTCCCGCGCCACCCGCCTCGGCGCCGCCGGCCCACCCCCCGGCCCCGCCGCCGCCGCCTGCCGCAGTGCGCCTGATCGGGATGGTGGGCAACAAGCGCGACATGCGCGTGTTTGAGCGCTCCAAGCTGCTGCCCTTCTCCATTGGATTCAAGACCGACCGGCGGCGGCCCGAGGAAACCGACTGGTGGGCTGCAGCGCTGGCCGGCTGTGGCAGCAGGCGCTGCGCTCGCCGCAGAGCAGCAGCAGGGGCTGGCAGGGGCGGGCGGCGGGCTCCCACCTCGTCCCCATGCCCGCCGCCTCTCCAGCCGTTTGCTCTCTCTCGTGTCGCCCCCTGCTGCCGCCGCCGCACCCGGCGCAGCCGATCTACCGCCCAACTACGCGCGGCCTGGCCCCTCCTTGCCCCGCCCCGCAGGGTCAACGTGGAGGCGTGGGGCCCGCTGGCGGAACGCGCCGACCAGCAGCTGCAGAAGGGAGACCGAGTGGCGGTGCAGGTGGGCGCGGGCGTGGCGGCGCGGGTGTGGCCACGGCCGCCTCTCACCGGCCTGCGCCTCGGCTGAGCGGCCGGCGGTTGGCTAGGCAGCCCATTGCGCCACCAGGCACGCCGCCTGCGGTGGGCTCGTCCCCTGACCCGCCTGCCCGCCCTCGCCTCCCGCCCGCCTCCTGCCTCCTGCCCCCTGCCCCCCACCCCGCCCGCGGCGCAGGGTCGGCTCAAGGTGGATAAGTGGGAGGACCGGGCCACGGGGCAGAAGCGTACCGCTTTTAAGCTGGTGGCCACCTCCATCAGCCGGGTGCGCAGCACCTTCCCACCGAGGGAGCCCGGCCACCTGGGCGACCCGGCCGGCGCGGGCGGCCCGCAGCAGCAGCAGCCCGCGGCGGCGGCGGCCGCGGGCCAGGCGGGGCCCGCCCCCTGGGACGAGCCGCCGCTGGTGGCGCCCTGGGACGAGCTGCCGGCGGCGGCGCCCTTT